ATGGGATCCCTGGGTGGCTCAGCAGTTTAGCACCTGCCTTTGGCTCAGGGCATGATCCTGGAGCCCTGGGGTTGAGTCCCACATCAGGCTCCCTGTGGGAAGCCTGCTTCTTCCTCTGCCTGTGTCTCTGCCTCTCTCTCTCTGTCTCTCATGAATAAATAAATAAAACCTTTAAAAAAAAAAAAAAGAAAGTCAAACTCTATGTGGGTTTTCAGCTGTGAGGTGGTCGAGGCCCCTACTCCCCCACATTGTTCAAGGATCAGCTATGTACATATTTCTTTTTATTTTTTAAGATTTTACTTATTTATTTGAAAGAGAGTGAGAGAGGGAGAAAGAAGACAGAAGGAGAGGGAGAGGGAGAAGTAGACTCCCCGCTGAGCAAAGACTACCCCCCCCCCAACTCAGGGCTATATCCCAGGACTCTCTGAGATCATGACCTGAGATAAAGGCAGATGCTTAACCCACTGAGCCACCTAGGCACCCTTAGCCAAAATACCATTCTATATTCCTCCTTCTCCTTCATCTCCCACAGGCTTATTTATTTATTATTTATTTATTTATTTATTTATTTAGGCTTTTATACTTCTGCACATTCAGCTACCTCTTTCTGGAATGCCCTTCCTTCTCCTCTCCAGCTGTCTATCAATTTTTATTAATTTTCAAGACTCAATCTCCACCTTTGAGAAGCCTACCCTTATCCCTATCCTCAGTGGGTAATGTTGACATTGATATTCATGCAGTCAGTGGGTCAGTAGAGCTGGTTTTGGTCTCAGTAGGAGATCATGAAATCAGGATATTCTATAGAACACTGGGTTCAGCCTAAACTCCGGCTACTGTTGTCTGAGATGCTTTAAGAATTAGCTCTGTCACATAGGTCTTATCATTAAAAGATCAAATTTTTCTGCTTTTGCACCTTGAGCAAAAGGCCCAACCCTAAAGCCTTAGAGGTTTCAGTCCTTATTGGCATCAGAACTCTATTATTATAATCTCCTTCTTGTTCGTCATTACTGCCCCTCCCATTTGGATAGGCTTTCGTGATTATGGGTGCTTTCACAGATGGTATCTTATTTGTTCCTTACAATAACCCACTCCTGTGAGGCAGAGAGGGCTGTTGTTTTTCCTAGTTGACTGCAATTTCCTCTAGCTCTTCGGATGTGGAGTGGGCCTGACTCCCTGGGGTGCTACTTAAATTCTGGGACCAGTTTATGAAATTTCCCATGGAACCAGAAGCTTCCCCTCATCCCCAAGAGAGCTGCGGGTGTAATGGCAGTAATGAAGATGCTATCAGCAGCTGAGTGGGCAGGGGCTGGACACCACTCCCACATCTGCAGCTTCAGGCACAGTCGTTCAGCATTTCTGCTTCTTGCTGCTAGATTGTGCCACTGATTATAGAGCAGTTTCAGAGCCTGAGAAAGATAAGAGCTCTACAGACTTGACAGGCCTAGGTCTCCTGCCTGTATAGCCTCAGATGCTAACCTGTCCAATTTCTTCTCATATCTCTGCTCTTGTCATTGTTCTCTACATTCCACACTGGTGGAGTTGGGGTTGCTTGGGGTTCTTGACTAAACCATGCTTTGTCTAGACTGTTTTCTGTGTGGAAGTTTCTTCTCTCACTTTTGCTCAGTTAGCTGCAACTCAGCCTCATCGTCACTCCTCTTTTGCAGCCTTCCCTGTTCTCAAGAGAGCAGCATATTCACCTGTACACATACTTTCCCTTTGTAGCCCTTAGCAGAAAAAACATGGTCTGGAATGCAGTCCAAGGGGAGGGAGTGCCATTTGTTTTTAACACTTAGAAGCCACAAGTATTAGCCATAATTAAGCTAGTCCTGAATAAAAGAACAAAGTCTCTCTAGCCAAAAGTATTTGAAAAGCTTTCAAGTCCTTTATCTACACCTTTCAAATGCTATGGAGCTATAAAGTCTTCCATGAGATTTGTTAGAATGCCCCTTTTCTCACCCATTGCCTTCACATACTAGAGCAGCTTTTCCTTTCTTCTCAACAACTATGGTTGAGTTGTGGCTCCCCCCAACTCCTGCCCTCGCCCCCACCACCGATTTTGCACTGTGATCTTCTTTTCCTCTTTTTTTTTTCTTCCTAATTCTCCATGACAAAAAGAGTTTAAGAACTAGTCTGGGAAGGTAGGACTCTCCTGGAAGGCAGGGGAGGGGAAGAATGTGTAGGCCAGACCAGAATCTTCTCTGGTGGGCAGAGGAAGGAAACATTATGTTGGGAACATTATCTTTTCACTGTTGTTCAGTTATCTAATGCTACATAACAAACCACTCAAAACTTAGTGGCATGAAACAACTACCATTTCATTTTGGTCATGATTCAGTGGATCAGAAGTTTGGGCAGGGCAAAGAAAGGACGGTTTGTCTTTGCTTTCCAATGTCTGGGGCCTCAGCTGTGTTGACCCCAAAATGGCTGGAGATGGCAGGGACAGCTTGACGGGGGTCGTATGTCTGGGTTCTTTTCCATGTAGTATCTGCTGGGACTAGAATGTCTATGATGGTTCCTTCTTTCATATAGCTAATGTCTAGGCTGGTATGGTTGAAACAGCTGGGATCTTGCCAGCATTGTTTTCTCTTTTAAGCGACTCTTCCATGTGGCCTTAGCTTCTCACAGCATGGCAGCAAGGTTCCAAGAGGCAGCATTCCAAGAGTAAGAGAATTCCAAGAAATCCAGGTGAAAGCCAGGTTTTTTGTGACCTGGTTCAGAAGTCCCAGGCTTTTACTTCTGCCACATTCTGTTGATCAAACAAGCCACTCCGTCCAGCTCGTATCCGAGGGGAGGGGAATTAGATTTACCTCTTGATATTTAGAACACTGTGGACCTATAGAGAAACAGAGTTAATTGGTACCATCTTGGAGACCATCCACCATAGTCCTCGCTTCATCCCAGCCACTACGATTCATGTCCCTTTCATGGAATTGCCTTGAAGTCCAAGATTGCCTCAAAGTCAGGTCTAGGTGTATGAGGTTCCTTGACTGGAGCTCTTCTTCATCTAAAGAACTGTGAATTAAAGAGACAAGTGTGTCCCACACCTGCTACTGAAAAATATGAGATAATGTTTTTTTTCTTTTTTTTTTTTTGAGCTAATGTTTATTATTGTTTGAAGCTAAATTTAGGGTTAACTGGTTACACAGTAATAGATAACTAACATAATCTGTCAAGTTCCAAAACACTCTTTTCATGACATCATTCTGCTTTAAAATTTGTTTGGATTATGAGAATTGAGATTGAGGAAGAAATGGGAATTTGGGTCCTAGTTATGTGAATATATATATATATATATATATATAGCTTTGAAATACCTGTTTGGTGCTAGCAGATACTGAGAGAACCATCTAGTGGTTAAGCTGAATCCTGAGAATTAGGAGGGTTTCATTTTTTTGTCACTGCCCGGGGAAAGCTGAGTTGGCATTCAGAAATTAAAGGTTGAATCATGTTTTTCCTTACTGGCAGATTTGGACTGGAGTTGGGGAGAGTAAATGATAAAAGTGATACTAGCATGTCAAGAAAAGTGGTAAAGGGATCCCTGGGTGGCGCAGCGGTTTGGTGTCTGCCTTTGGCCCAGGGCGCCATCCTGGAGACTTGGGATGGAGTCCAACGTCGGGCTCCTGGTGCATGGAGCCTGCTTCTCCCTCTGCCTGTGTCTCTGCCTCTCTCTCTCTGTGACTATCATAAATAAATAAAAATTCATAAAAAAAAAAAAAAAGAAAAGTGGTAAAGTGGGGTAGGGCCTCAAGGTTCCTCACAGCGAGGCACCAGCAGTCTCTCGGCTTCCACCCCTACCCTTCCTCTGGGCTATCTTTTCCTCTGGCCCACTAAATTCCCTTTAGTCTCTAGCTCATTGAGCACTTCTTTCCTTTTCTGCTTTTTCCCACCTCCCCTTCCTAATGATGATCTTTCCCTTCTTTATAAGGTGCATATGTGTGCATTCAGGAACACAATAGAGGAAAACAAAACCAAACTTGAAATGAGAATGATCTTTTGAAAAATCTTGGTATTTGTTCTTCTGTCCATGTTGTCCAGATTTAGTCTTGGATTGGAGAGTCAAGGCACTGACTGTGCCTGGTGACTTCATCAGGTTGGAGTCAGCCAGCAATCCTTATTATCCTAGGATGTGAACACTGAGAAGAACCCCTGCAGAACATCTGGTGCAACGTGTTCATCTATATGTGAAGAATCTGAAGCCCCCAAAGCTCAGGTGACCACAGTTAACGGATACTAATTAAACATCTACGATGAAGAGGACGCCTTCAAAGGCTTGGATGTGTTCACCCATTCTGACTAGTAAAATAGGTGGAGTGATTTGTTGGGACTCTCTCACCAACTATTGTGCAAGCACAGAAACACCAGGAACAGCACACTGACCAGAGGCAAACCCTTAAGTTGTGTACTGACCCTCGACAGCTGAGGGTTAGGAAGCGAAGCGTGCCCGACTCTGTGGCTTCTAAACCAACCTTAACCCTCGGCTCCAGGCCCCCCACAGCCCAAAGAAACGTGTGAAAAATGAATAAAACCCTTCCCTCCGAAGTCCATCCTTCCTCCCCCCCCCCTCCCCCGGCTGGGATCGGCGCTGGCCTTGGAGCCCCTGCTCGGGGACTTTTCCGTTCTCCTCAGACACTGGCGCGACCGCTGGACACACGCGGGGCTTTTTTTTTTTTCTTTCTTACTGCGAGGCGCGGGCTGCGGGCTGCTCACCCCGACTCGTATTTTAACTCGGAATGAGGGTCTTGCTCGGTGGGCACGCAAGCCCCAAAGCAGGCCCGAGGCGGCCTGGGGAACCCGAGCGACCTGCGGGGTGGTGCTCCGCGGGCAAGAGCGCAGGGAAGGCCCGCACTCCTCCCCGCGGGGTGGGAAGCCCCGTCCGCCGGGTGCGCCCGCACGGCGCCTGGCTCCCGGCGGACGCCGAGGGGGCGGGGCCTGGCGGGGGCGGGGCCTGGCGGGGGCGGGGCCTGGCGGGGGCGGGGCCTGGCGCGGTCAGGTGACTGAAGAGCCGGCGGCCGTGGCTGCGGCGGCGGAGGGGCGTCAGACTGGCCTGAGGGTCGGCGAGGCGGGCTGGCAGTCGGGGTAGCCACGCGGCGGCCATGGGGGGCTTGAAGGACGAGCTGCTCAAGGGCATCTGGCACGCCTTCACCGCGCTCGACCTGGACCACAGCGGCAAGGTCTCCAAGTCCCAGCTCAAGGTGGGCACCCCGCCCGGGTCCGGTCCCCCTCCGACCCTCCCGCGTGCGCTCTCCCCCCCCGCCCCCCGCCCCCCGCGTGGTGGAAGCCGGCCCCGGCGGGCGGGCACCCCAGGAAGGGGCGGGCAGGAATGCGGCCGGGCGGCCTGCTCCGCGCTGAGGGGCCAGAGACCGGGATTCGGTGGTTCAGCCTCCTTGCTGCCTTCGGGCGGTGCCCTCGGGCGGGTGGGTAGTCCCTTCGGGGCCCCTCGTGAGCGGTGGGGGGCGGGGCGGGGAGAGGGTGTGTTAGGCGGGGATGGGGTCTGAGGAGCCGGGCTCCTGCTGGCGAAGGGCGGGGGGCAGAGAGTCTCAGAGTCGGAGCGGCGGTGGGAAGCTGGCTTAGGCAGCACGCCCGGAGTACCGTCGCCCTCTGGAAGAGGAAGGGACTTGCCCAAGATCACTGGGGCAGAGCCTTGTGCAGAGCGCGCGCTCCACACCCGGGCGGCCCCGAAACGGCCAGCTGCGGCTGAGGCAGCCTGGCTGTTCAGAGGAGGGAGAAGTGCCCAGAGCCTGGCCTCCAGCCGCTTCCTCCTTTGGGGGCTTTGGTGGTGGGAGACGCTCTCTGACTTGTGAGAAAGACCTCCCGGCCCAGGGGCTTCAGGTCAGTCTCGCGTGTGCTGTGTCCCGCAGGGACCTTCGTTCCCGGTGAGGAGCCCCGATCTTTCTGCCAGAGGCTTTATTGTGACTGCCAAAGACCCCATCATTGAGAGTATAGGGTATAAATAAAGGAATGCTTGTAAGTTGAGTAACCCCAAGCCGGGAAAGTGGCACTTAGCCAGGAGAAATTGGCAGCTTCTTGAAAGTATAAAATATAGAAACAGACAAGAAGAGCCATTCACAGGCATTTTCTAATATCCACATTTTGGATCTGAATGTCTGGTTTTCTTAGCCTCTTCTGAGAATGAGTTTCTGAAGATTGGGTTTGCTTTGTTTATTTTGTGCAGTAATCAGGAGGTTTTTATGAGTAGTGGCTTTTATGCCAGTAGGATTTAGCATTTGCTTTTCTTCTTCCCCATCTTCCTTTCATACTCCTCCCTTCTCATTCATAAAATTATAGTTTGGAAAGGTTCAGAGAGATCATTTTCTTAATGCTTATTTTACTTTTAAATTAACTACAGTAAAATTGACTTTTTTGGTGTACAGTTTTATGAATTTTAACACACGTATAAATTTCTGTAACTGCTACCAAAATCGGGTTTCTATCAGTTCTGTCATCCCAGAAAGCTTCTTGTTGCCCTCTCACCTCCAGCTGGGGTGAACCAATGGCCTGGTTTGTTCTTAATTGCTATAGTTTTGTCTTTTTCCACAGTGTCACGTAAATGAAGTAATTTGGTATGTAACCTTTTGATACTGGCTTCTTTTACTCAGGGTAATGCCTTAGAGATTCACCCATGTTATTTTTTTTTTCACCCATGTTATTGTGTGTATGTGTTAATCATTCCTTTTTTATTAAGTAATCCATTGTATGGATGTACCCAAGTTAATCCATTCACCTTTGAACATATGTGTTGTTTCCCCTTTTTGGTGATTATGAATAGAGCTGTGTTTTACTTTTTACTGTTTTTACTTTTAATTTACCTATACCACCATATTTAAAGTGAATTTATTATAGATCACTTGTAATTGGGTCTTGTTTTTTAATCCATTCTTGCAATCTCTTGTTTTTTCATTGTTGTGTTTAGACCATTTACATTTAATGTAATTATTGATTTGGTTAGATTTAAAGCTACTAATTTTACTATTTGGCTTCTGTTTTCCAATTTTTGTTTCACTGTTTCTTCTTTCTTTCCTTCTTTCAGATCATTTGAATATATTTTAGTATTTCATTTTAATACTGTGCCCAATGCTAGGGGTGGTAGTAGAGGTGGGGGGACAAATCTTTGCCTTCAAGGAGTTTAAATTTTGGTAGGCAAATTAAGAAAATAATCAAGTATTAGAGATGGTTGGTTCTTTCTCTCAATTATATTACTTGGTTACTTTATCCTTAAGAAATGTAAAATCTGATGGTTGAGATAAATAAATATAATTGGATAGAGGATGTTGAGTGGATTAGAAGATAAGGGGCCATGAGATTTTAAAGGAAAAGGTGATTAGTTTTTTACTGGTGAGATAATTTCATGAAAAAAGCTTCTTTGAAATAAACTTGGAAACAATCAGGATGTGATCATATAGAAATGCTGGAGGGAAAGCTAAGCCATTCTATTCATTTATTCATTCATTGGATATTTGTTGACTGCTCGTAGTTCCAAGGCATCCCTGTCATCTATTGCAGCAGTCTGGAATTAATCAGACATTTATGGGGACTTCTCTGTAACTTATTTTGATTGCAGTGTAATGTATGAGTGAGTGTATGTCTGTATATTTAAGAGTTGGGGATCCCTGGGTGGCTCAGCGGTTTAGCGCCTGCCTTTGGCCCAGGGCATGATCCTGGAGTCCTGAGATTGAGTCCCGCGTCGGGCTCCCAGCATGGAGCCTGCTTCTCCCTCTGCCTGTGTCTCTGCCTCTCTCTCTCTCTCTCTCTCTCTCTCTCTCTGTGTGTGTGTCCCCATCATGAATAAATAAATAAATCTTTAAAAAAAAAAGAGAGAGTTATTTTTTTTTAATATTATTTATTTATTTATTCATAGAGACACACACAGAGAGAGAGGCAGAGACACAGGCAGAGGGAGAAGCAGGCACCATGCAGAGAGCCTGACGGGGGACTCTATCCTGGGTCTCCAGGATCACGCCCTAGGCTGCAGGCGGCACTACTGCTGCGCCACTGGGGCTGCCTAAAAGAGAGTTATTGCTCGTGATAAAGCAATAGAAATAGATTGTGGTTAATGCACAGAGAGGACTTTGAGTACCAGGCTAGTGAGGTAGGTGCCATAGAGCCTCCAAGTTTTTGGAGAGGTGATGGACCATGATAAGAAGTGCACTTTAGGAAATCACTTGGGCTGTAGCATGTGACCTGGGTTAAAGTGGATTGGACATGTTGGAATTAGGAAACTATTGCAGGGATCCCTGGGTGGCGCAGCAGTTTGGCGCTTGCCTTTGGCCCAGGGCGTGATCCTGGAGACCCGGGATCGAATCCCACGTCGGGCTCCCGGTGCATGGAGCCTGCTTCTCCCTCTGCCTGTGTCTCTGCCTCTCTCTCTCTCCCTCTGTGACTATCATAAATAAATAAAAATTTAAAAAAAAAAAAAAAAGGAAACTATTGCAGTAGTCTTGATGAGAGGTAATAGGGGGTGGAGGTGGTGAGGATGGACGAATGGGAGATGGTGAGGGAAGGAATTTTGCTGTCTACTAGCCTTGACTCATGATTGGGTGTGAGGAGAAATGAAAAGGACAGAGTCAGAAATGTTTCAAATTTCAACTGTGGATGACCAATGGATACTCGAGGTTTTTAATAGAAACAGGAAAGTTATCAAAAGGAACTGTTTAGAGAAGAAATGAAAGTTAACTTTGAACATGTAGGGTTTTATTTATATTGTTTTATTTTTGAGGGCCTTGTTGGAGATGATGTCCTTGGCAAGGGTGGGGCTGTCAGTACAGGATCTAGTAGTTTGAAACTTGGAAAAAAAGAGAGGAAAGATTAATTGATGGCCTTGGGGAATGGCTAGAGTATGTGGTGAGAGGAAGAATAGAAGTCAAGGGAATGGAAACAAGAGTAAGAACCACTTCAGAGCAGCACTGGAACTGAGGGAGAAGAGTTTTCAAGGAAGACATGGTCTCTTATTTTTGAGAGTTAAGCTGTTATTTTTATTGTTCTATACACATATTTTGGAGATTGTAATGAGAGTGACTCATTTCTTTTTTTTTTTAAAGATTTTATTTTTTATTTATTCTTGAGAGACAAGCCAGAGGGGCAGAGACATAGGCAGAAGGAGAAGCAGGCTCCTTGTGGGGAGTCTGATGCGGGACTCAATTCCAGGACCCTGGGATCATGACCTATGCCGAAGGCAGATGCTCAACCATTGAGCCACTGAAGTACCTCTACATATTTCTTCTTTAAAGAGAAGTTGTGAAAAGTTTAGAATATTGGCATCATCTTGGGAATAAATTCATTTTTTACTTTTAGGAGATTATTTTGCAGTATAGTACTCATTTATTTTTTTTATTTTTTAAAGATTTTATATATTTATTCATGAAGAGACACAGAAAGAGAGATCGCGTGAGAAGCAGAGACACAGGCAGAGACAGAAGCGGGCTCCATGCAGGGAGCCTGACATAGGATTCGATCCTGGGTCTCCAGGATTAGGCCCTGGGTTGAAGGTGGCGCTAAACCACTGAGCCACCGGGCTGCCCAATATAGTACTCATTTAGATAGATGTGTTTGAGTCACTGCTATAATTAGTAAATTTTGGGGTGCTTGGGTGTCTATCCTCTGCTCAGGTCATGGTCTCTGGCTCCTGGGATGGAGCCTTGCCTCATATCTGTCTCCCTGCTCAGTGGGGAGTCTGCTTCTCTCTATCCTTCTACCCTGTTCCCTACTCATGTGCACATGCGTGTGCGTGGTCTCTCTCAAATGAATTAATAAAATCTTTAAAAAAATTAGCAAATATTTTCCTTCAGTTTCTCCAGTTTAGTACAAAAAACTTCTGTTTTATACCTAATTTTTATTAATAGCATATTTAACATATTTAGCATAAATTAACAACGTAAGTTATTATTTTGTTGTTGTTGCAAACATAGACTTTCATTGAATTTATCAATAAGATAAAAATATGGAAACCAGAATTTGAAAACCATTTGTGACTTGTATAAGCTACTATAGAGGCAAGATGTTGAGGTTGTTTAGTCACAGTTAGCGTAGGTCACTGTCTTCCTGATCTTCATTAATGTACCCTTCCCCTCCCCCCAAACCCCTGCTCCCTGTACCCTCCTACAAAAGGGGAACCACCTCTGCCTCACTATTCTTAACTTTGATTCTTTCTCTTCCTTTCTCATTCCCTGTGATCTCCCAGGGTTCTTTCTTGCAGTCT